CGAGAGAAGGCGGAGGGCAAGCGGCCCGTGGGTCAATCCGCCACGTTAGCGACGCGGCTTTTGCAAGGTGATCCTGCGCGAGATCCAAAGCCACCACAGGAGGACCGTGGGAGAGATGGTGTCACCATTGAGGAGGGATCTAGCAGCAGAGGAAGACGAAAAAGCCCTTCGCCGCCTCAATCCACACCGTCACGGTCCAACGTTCGCATACGTGGAGATGCGGGCGTTGGCTTCACCCCCAGTCATTATCCCGTCTTCCCCTTGATTACCTCACCTTCCACCAACTTGAACACCGACCCCTTTTCCCTCTCAGCTGGCACCCTTTCCTGCCTTCCCTATTCTATCAACTCTTTTCCACCCGACTCGTCGCCACCGTCTTCTCACATACAACCACCCGCTCTCTCGTAACTTCTTTCCCTCTCCATATCCTTCTCTTTAGCGTCACATGGCGTGACTATAATAATATAGAAGTTTACTGCATCATCGTGGGAACTATTCCCGCGTGCCAGGATTATGAAGATTTTCGCGCCACCATCCCCACACTCTTTGTACACTTTATCCTGATTACTTAGCCTCGTTTCCGCATCAGGATCATCGCTTCCCCCTCATTCTTTCGCGCCACCATCCCCACACTCTTTGTACACTTTATCCTGATTACTTAGCCTTGTTTCCGCATCAGGATCATCGCTTCCCCCTCATTCATCACACCGTTCACTACACTCGGCTTCCTACCGCAGATCGAGAGCTTCAACGACTCCTGCCACAACAGAAAAATTCCCACGAGAAATGAAAGTTGAAAAAACATTCCATAAAAAAAAAATCCTTCCTATTTATAAATTATCATTCCAATGTTCATCCAATTCTAAAATTTTCAGTTTTATTTGATAAATCCCCGTCTAAATATGAGCTTTCCCTTCCAACTACATTTATTACTTCAGGATGGAATGAAAGGCTGGACGAGTTTATGAAATGTTTTAATTAAATTTTCATTCCACTAGAACAAATATCGTCTAATTAAGATTGGATTAACCTATTTATGACTGGAAATTCTTACTTAGAATTACAGTCCAATTAAAATATTTCATGAATTCATCTAGACTTTCATTTCATCTCTAGCATGCAGTCCAAATAAGAAGGGATACCTTATTATTGGAATGAAAGTTTGCAAGTAAGATGAAAATTTTTAAAATTGAAATGACATTTTGTAAGATGGAATGAAAATTTAAAATTTAGATTGTAATTTACTATAAAATGATTATTTAATTTCGGGAAATTTTTCCGTTGCACCCCTTCTGTAAGCTCACCCCCGTCCTTCCCCGGGTCTCCCCCTGTCATAAGGTTGCCCTTCCCCGGTAACTCGTAAGATGAGACAAAACTTACACATGCCACATGGATGACTTCCACACTCTTATTGCACGGTAATTGGCAGNCCTTCCCCGGTAACTCGTAAGATGAGACAAAACTTACACATGCCACATGGATGACTTCCACACTCTTATTGCACGGTAATTGGCAGGTGTAGGTTCGACATTGCTTGCTGTTGTTTTCGCCCCTCCTCCGAGGGATCCTTGGATATTGTGTGTGCTGTGTTACCGCGTGTTCATTGAATGCGCGTTTCGCGTTCAAGTTTTAAACGCGGTGAACGCGCGTTCACTAAACGCGGCTGAACGCTTTTGACGCGTTCGCACAGAAGCCATGTAGTGTTGGGGGCGGCAGGTTTGGGGGGGGGGGGGGACAAGGTGGCGGGGGAGGGGCCAATGGCCCTGCAAAAAAAAAAAAAACGACCAAGTAATGGCCAAAAAAAAAAACGAAGCATCCATACGCG